GAAGCCGTTCAAGACAAGAAAGATCCGTTCACATTTAAGGCATTCAAGTCATGAAAGCTCCGTTGATATTAAAACCATTCAAGACATGAATGTTCCGTACACATTGAAACAATTCAAGACATGAAATCTCCATTCATATTGATGCCATTCAAGGTATGAAAGCTCCGTTCATATTGAAGCCGTTTAAGACGAGAAATCTCCGTTCATATTGAAGCCATTCAAGGCATGAAAGCTCCGTCAACATTGAAGCCTTTCAAGACACGTAACTCCGTTCACATTGCAGCCATTCAAGTCATGAAAACTCCGTTCTCATTGAAGCCATTCAAGGCATGAAAGCTCACTTCATATTGAAGCCATTCAAGGCATGAAACCTCCCTTCATATTGAAGCCATTCAAGGCATGAAAGCTCCGTTTACATTGAAGCCGTTCAAGACAAAAAAAATTCCGTTCACATTGAAGCCATTCAAGACAAGAAAGCTCCGTTCACATTGAAGCCGTTCAAGGCATGAAAGCTCCGTTCATATTGAAGCCATTCAAGGCATGAAAACTCCGTTCACATCGAAGCTGCTCATGGCATGAAAGCTCCGTTCACAGTGAAACCGTTTATCGTGTCTGGAAGCATTAATAGTTATAAGTCAGTTGTTCCCCAACTGAATTTTTGGATCTCGGTCAGAAAGATCATTTCCAAGTATCCGATCATCTTTGTTTTTTATATATATATATATATATATATATATATATATATAGAGAGAGAGAGAGAGAGATTGATAGATACATAGATACGTATCATCTTAATCCCGCAATGATTAACTAGAATTATTGCATACTTACATACATAATAAATTATTTTTTTTATTTTACTGGTAAATATAGTTCATGCCACTTTGACAGTAAAATTTACCAGTAAAATAATTTGTTCATTACCATATTTGGTATAAACGCAAACACTTTAAAAAAAATTTTCAAACTCAGCGTTGCTTTGGCGCGTTCAAAAACCAATATCTCATTTTCAATAGCATTTCGGATACAATACACATATATTTTCGATGTCCTCTTATTACTAAGAGAAAAAAACAAGAACAACATCTATTATATACCTGAAGATGTCTGTAGGAACAGACGAAAGCTTGTAGTAAAAAAATAACAACTAATACGGCAGAAATTTATATAAACAAGGATCAATTCATTCATAACGGATCTGGAGGTTTTTGTGTACTATTTGAATTGTTTGCGAGATGGATGTCTCGCCATTTAAATCATTAACCTTTGCATTAGTTTTGTGTGAATAATTCATGCATATATATATATATATATATATATATATATATAAATTTCAAATATAAAAGTGGACGCACCAAGCGGCGACAGTCTGTTTCATCCTTGAACACAATTTTCGGGCCATCCTGAATGACCTCAACATTGTGCGTGTATAGTAGACATGAAACAGATTTTCCCCACTTGGTGCTGATCTCAAAGTCTACATTTGTATTTTAAATTTACATACGCTCTATCTCTGATATTGAACACTGTTAACTATATATCATACCTTAAAACTATATTTTTATTGCATATATGTGTGGAAACATAAATTGTAAACTGAAAATTTCACTAAAATATGCTGGCGAATTCCAGAGTTTTCGTCAGAGATTAAGAAAATACAAATTTGAACCAAAATGATTACAATATGCAGAAAAACGTTGGCATCAATTTGAGACACATCATTCTGGCATCAGTTTAAACTGACACCTCCATTTTTCTTTATATCTAAAGTATAATTTGTAAACTGAAAATTCTACTAAAAATATGTGGACAGTTTGAACATTTGTTACGTGTTGAGGCACAACGATGACCCTTTGGACATGTTTATATGGACATTTCAGCTTGATTTAGTGTCAGGAATGCGCCCGCAAAGTTTGTAAAAATATTTTTGGATTGTCTCTTGGGTTGCACATTTAACAATGTCTACCGTAAATGTTAAACTTTAATAACTCAAAAACGAAGGTTTTGTGGACATATGTTTATATAGACCTTTGTTCTTGTTTTGGCATCAGGATCACGCCCCAAAAATTTGTAAAAGTATTTTTGATTTACTCTGTATCTATCTTATCATAGATAAGTAATAAAATTGACTTTCGGTCATCAGGTTAATGACAAATAAACATCGAAATGTTAAAATCGATATCCTTTTATTAAATAAATATTCAATAATTTTACTTAGATCATTTACGATTTGAAAGTCTACGTTCAAAATTTTCGCTAATATCCTAATGTATACATTAATAGCAGATCGAGGTCGGTTTTGATACCGGCATAGATAGATAGATAGATAGATAGATAGATAGATAGATAGATAGATAGATAGATAGCGAAAAGACGTAGATAGACATATAGATAATTAGCGAATATAGTGGATAGATAGATAGACAGGAACATAGATAGATAGATAGATAGATAGATAGATAGATAAGAAACAGTCATTGATAGATAGTAAACATAGTAGATAAGTAGCGAACATAGATAATGAACATATATGTGTGTGTGTGTGTAGATAGATAGATAGATAGATAGATAGATAGATAGATAGATAGATAGATAGATAAGATACGATAAGATGAATATAAGATGAATATATCAATTCTGAAATTCAATCCAGGATCTCTAATAGAATTATAAAAAGAGCGAAAGGAAAAAAAAAACAAAAAAGCGAAATCATCTCGAATTAGTGATTCTGGAATTATTTTTGTCCGTTGCCAATTTATTGAACGCTGAACAGCGTCGCCATTTTTAGCGAACTTTTACTCAGCCGAAAAAATCATCTGAACATTGAGATGCTGGTCAGACGCCTGACAGATGGAACGGCAGAATTTTACACCTTTAAATAATGAAAACTACATACATACATACATACATACATACATACATACATACATACATACATATATATGCACACATACACACACATACACATATATATATATATATATATATATATATATATATATATATATATATATATATATATATATATATATATATATATATATATATTTTTGTGGCTTTCAATGAAATCTATAGAATCTGTAGAAAAACGCTATATTAACTGAACGAAAGAAGTAAAAATGGTGGATGAGATGGGGAATTTAACGAAAAAGATGTCAGGAATAAAAATATATATATATATATATATATATATATATATAACATTGGAAATGGTGTTGTTAGAAAATGAATTAATGGTGGAAGAAAGATACTTCTTTATTTCACTTATTTTTGTCTTTATCGTCTCCTTCTTTGGGCCATGGTTCTTGTTAGAAGAAATAAAGAAGGAAAGAAAGAAAGTGTTAGAAAGAAAGAAAGCGTAATAGAAGATAACCTCGCAAGAAAGACAAAGGTTAAAGCTAGAGAAAGGAACATGAAAAGAAAGAAAGACAATTTAAAGAGAAAGAAAGAAAGAAAGAAAGAAAGAAAGAAAGAAAGAAAAGAAAGAAAGAGCATGGATAGAAAGAAAGAACACAAATAAAAAAGAAAGAAAGAAAGAAAGAAAGAAAGAAAGAGCATGGATAGAAAGAAAGAAAGAAAGAAAGAAAGAAAGAAAGAAAGAAAGAAAGAGCATGGATAGAAAGAAAGAACACAAATAAGAAAGAAAGAAAGAAAGAAAGAAAGAAAGAAAGAAAGAAAGAAAGAAAGAAAGAAAGAAAGAAAGAAAGAGCATGGATAGAAAGAAAGAACACAAATAAGAAAAGAAAGAAAGAAAGAAAGAAAGAAAGAAAGAAAGAAAGAAAGAAAGAAAGAAAGAAAGAGCATGGAAAGAAAGAAAGAAAGAAAGAAAGAAAGAAAGAAAGAAAGAAAGAAAGAAAGAAAGAAAGAAAGAGCATGGATAGAAAGAAAGAAAGAAAGAAAGAAAGAAAGAAAGAAAGAAAGAAAGAAAGAAAGAGCATGGATAGAAAGAAAGAACACAAATAAAAAAGAAAGAAAGAAAGAAAGAAAGAAAGAAAGAAAGTCGTTGGAAGGAAGAACGAACGAGAGAAAGTAAAATAAACGTAGAAATATAAACCTTAAAAATAGATAAAATCGAGAGAGAGAGAGAGATAGACAGACAGAATCGGAATAGGAAAAGTCTGAAACAAAGAACTAGAAGAAAAACAAAAACAAGAAAGAAAGAAAGAAAGAAAGAAAGAAAGAAAGAAAGAAAGAAAGAAAGAAAGAAAAAGGAAAGAAAGAAAGAAACTGAATGTTAGAAAGAAAGAAAGAAAGAAAGAAAGAAAGAAAGAAAGAAAAAGGAAAGAAAGAAAGAAAGAAAGAGGAGATAAAAATAAAGAAAAAAGGCTGGAAAAAAAAGAAAGTTAAAAGTAATGACAGAAATTTGCAAAGAAAAAAAGAAAAAGAAATCTAGAGGAATGAAAATAGATAGATAGATAGATAGATAGATAGATAGATAGATAGATAGATAGATAGATAGATAAAACGAGAGAATTAAAACCAGGATAGAAATATTGTTAAATGTAGAGAAAAAAAACTAGGAAAGAAAGAAATAGAAACTTAGTAGAAGGAAACATGAAAAAAGGAATGAAAGAAATAGAGACAGAAACAAATATATATAGAGAGAGAGATAGATAGATAGACAGACAAACAGTCAGAGAGAGAGAGAGACAGACAGACAGACAGACAGACAGACAGACAGAGAAAACATGAAAAGAAAGTTTAAACTAGCGGAAGAATACATAGAAATAATTAAATCGAACAGCGGAATAATTCGATTCATGGTGTTGGATGAAGGCTTGAAATTGAAAAATTTCGGTGTGAAAGCTAAATAAAAATAAAAAGAGAAATAACAAAAAATTCCTCCCAAATTGTTTTTTAACAAATATTATTATGCCTTTGCCGATCGTTTGTCAGTTTCGACATCCTCTTCGGCATAAAAGAAGAAAAGATTAAGGCTTTTACTTCCTTTTTCTACCTATCTGGACAATAACAACGAACATTATGTCACATGATTAATGATGGCATGTCACCGAAGGGGACGTCTGCTTAAGTAACGTCCGTTTTTATGAAACCGGAAGTGTGGAAAAGGCAACAAAGAAGTGGAATATATATCCTTTTTCTTTTTTCTCGTTTCGAGGAAACGCTTTATTCATTTCTATATTTATATATATATATATATATATATATATATATATATATATATATATATATATATATATATATATTCCTTTCTTTTGTTCCTTCATTCTTTTCATTTTACTTTCTTTCCTTCTCGATATTTCTTCATCTAGATGTAAATTCAATTATTTAACCAATCACTTATCCTGTCTCATTCACCAATCTCTTTTTTCTTCCATCTTTTATATATTTTTCTTTCTTTCTTTCTTTCTTATTTCATTCTTTCTTATAATATATATATATATATATACTTTCATTATATACACTTATAACAAAAATTCAAATATATATACTTGTATTAGATACACTTATTAAATAAATATACACTTTTTATATACATTTATATTAACAAGATTTAAATATATACACTTTAATTACATAGACATAGTCACACGATTCAAATATATACACTTTTATTATATACACTTATATAACAAGATTTTAGTTGCATATACTTTTATTATATACTCTTATAAATATACACACTTTTATTATACACACTTATATTAACAAGATTTTAATTGTATAGTTAGTTTTGATAGGATAGAGTACATCTATCCTATCAAAACTAACTAGTGGCTTTCTTTTTTACTTACCCCATTTATATATCTCCTTCTTTCTTGCTTCATTTCTTTCTTTTCTTTTTTCTTCCTTTCTTTCTTGCTTTGTTTCTTCATTCTTTTCATTTTTACTTTCTTTCCTTCTTCTCGATATTTCTTCATCTTGATGTAAATTCCATTATTTCACCAATCATTTATCCTGTCTCATTCTCCAATCTCTTTTTTTTTCTTCCAACTTTTATATATTTCTCTTTCTTTCTTTGTTTCTTTCTTTCTTTGTTTCTTTCTTTATTTTTTCAGTTTTTCTTCCGTCCATTTTAATTTCCTCTTTCTTTTCATACATACTTTATTTCATTCTTTGTTTTTTATTTCATTCTTTCTTCTTTATTTCTTTCTTTTCAGACTTACACGTGTTTTTTTTTTTCAGTTTTTCTAGTTTTAAATTTCTCTTTCGTTTATTCATACTTCCCTTTCTCGTTTTCTTTCTGCTGTTTAAAAATGTTTTCTTTCTTTTTTTCCTTTCTTTATTTTTGTGGTTTTAAATTTGTTTCACTTTATTATCTTTCAGTTTTTCTTTCGGTAGTTTTAAAATTGCATTTATTGATTTTCAGTTTTCCTTACTCCCATTTTCTGTTCATTTCATTATTTATTTCCATTTTGTTACCAGACGTTTTAAATCTGTCTCCTATCCATTCTTTCTTTTCATCTGTCTTCCATTCATTTTTCTTTGCATTTTTTTACCAGCCGTTTTAAATCTGCCTCCCATCCGTCTATTCTTTCATTTTTTTAACACTGGTTTTAAATCTGTCTTCCATTAATTCTTTCTTTTCATTTTTTTACCAGCGGTTTTAAATCTCTCTACTATTCATTTTTTTTTTCATGTTTTTACGAGCCGTTTTAAATCTGCCTCCCATCCATTCTTTCTTTTCATTTTTATAACACTGGTTTTAAATCTGTCTTCCATTCATTTTTCTTTGCATTTTTTTACCAGCGGTTTTAAATCTGCCTCCCATCCATTCTTTCTTTTCATTTTTTACACTGGTTTTAAATCTGTCTTCCATTAATTCTTTCTTTTCAGTTTTTTTTTTTTTTTTTTTTTTTTACCAGCGGTTTTAAATCTCTCTACCATTCATTTTTTTTTTTCATGTTTTTACGAGCCGTTTTAAATCCGCCTCTCATCCATTCTTTCTTTTCATTTTTATAACACTGGTTTTAAATCTGTCTTCCATTCATTTTTTATTTTTTATTTTTTTTACCAGCGGTTTTAAATCTGCCTCCCATCCATCTATTCTTTCATTTTTTTAACACAGGTTTTAAATGTCTTCCATTCATTCTTTCTTTTCATTTTTTTTTTACCAGTGGTTTTAAATCTCTCTCCCATTCATTTTTTCTTTGCATTTTTTTTACCAGCAGTTTTAAATCTGCCTCCCATCCATCTATTCTTTCATTTTTTAACACAGGTTTTAAATGTCTTCCATTCATTCTTTCTTTTCAGTTTTTTTACCAGAGGTTTTAAATCTCTCTCCCATTCATTTTTCTTTTCATTTTTTACCAGCGGTTTTAAATCTGCCTCCCATCCATCTATTCTTTCATTTTTTAAACACAGGTTTTAAATGTCTTCCATTCATTCTTTCTTTTCAGTTTTTTACCAGTGGTTTTAAATCTGCCTCCCATCCATCTATTCTTTCATTTTTTTAACACAGGTTTTAAATGTCTTCGATTCATTCTTTCTTTTCAGTTTTTTTACCAGTGGTTTTAAATCTCTCTACCATTCATTTTTCTTTTCATGTTTTTACGAGCCGTTTTAAATCCGCCTCTCATCCATTCTTTCTTTTCATTTTTATAACACTGGTTTTAAATCTGTCTTCCATTCATTTTTCTTTTCATTTTTTTACCAGCGGTTTGAAATCTGCCTCCCATCCATCTATTCTTTCATTTTTTAAACACAGGTTTTAAATGTCTTCCATTCATTCTTTCTTTTCAGTTTTTTACCAGTGGTTTTAAATCTCTCTCCCATTCATTTTTCTTTTCATTTTTTTACCAGCGGTTTTAAATCTGCCTCCCATCCATCTATTCTTTCATTTTTTTAACACAGGTTTTAAATCAGTTTCCCATTCATTTTTCTTTGCATTTTTATCCAGCTGTTTTAAATCTGCCTCCCATCCATTCTTTCTTTTCATTTTTTACCAGTGGTTTTAAATCTGTCTTCCATTAATTCTTTCTTTTCAGTTTTTTTTTTTTTTTTTTTTTTTTTTACTAGCGGTTTTAAATCTCTCTACCATTCATTTTTTTTTTCATGTTTTTACGAGCCGTTTTAAATCCGCCTCTCATCCATTCTTTCTTTTCATTTTTATAACACTGGGTTTAAATCTGTCTTCCATTCATTTTTGTTTTCATTTTTTTACCAGCGGTTTTAAATCTGCCTCCCATCCATCTATTCTTTCATTTTTTAACACAGGTTTAAAATGTCTTCGATTCATTCTTTCTTTTCAGTTTTTTTTACCAGTGGTTTTAAATCTCTCTCCCATTCATTTTTCTTTGCATTTTTTTACCAGCAGTTTTAAATCTGCCTCCCATCCGTCTATTCTTTCATTTTTTAACACAGGTTTTAAATGTCTTCCATTCATTCTTTCTTTTCAGTTTTTTTACCAGTGGTTTTAAATCTCTCTCCCATTCATTTTTCTTTTCATTTTTTTACGAGCCGTTTTAAATCCGCCTCTCATCAATTCTTTCTTTTCATTTTTATAACACTGGTTTTAAATCTGTTTTCCATTCATTTTTCTTTGCATTTTTTTACCAGCGGTTTTAAATCTGCCTCCCATCCATTCTTTCTTTTCATTTTTTAACACTGGTTTTAAATCTGTCTTCCATTAATTCTTTCTTTTCAGTTTTTTTTTTTTTTTTTTTTTTTGCCAGCGGTTTTAAATCTCTCTACCATCAATTTTTTTTTCATGTTTTTACGAGCCGTTTTAAATCCGCCTCTCATCCATTCTTTCTTTTCATTTTTATAACACTGGTTTTAAATCTGTCTTCCATTCATTTTTCTTTTCATTTTTTTACCAGCGGTTTTAAATCTGCCTCCCATCCATCTATTCTTTCATTTTTTTTACACAGGTTTTAAATGTCTTCCATTCATTCTTTCTTTTCAGTTTTTTTACCAGTGGTTTTAAATCTCTCTCCCATTCATTTTTCTTTGCATTTTTTTACCAGCAGTTTTAAATCTGCCTCCCATCCGTCTATTCTTTCATTTTTTAACACAGGTTTTAAATGTCTTCCATTCATTCTTTCTTTTCAGTTTTTTTACCAGTGGTTTTAAATCTCTTTCCCATTCATTTTTCTTTTCATTTTTTTACGAGCCGTTTTAAATCCGCCTCTCATCAATTCTTTCTTTTCATTTTTATAACACTGGTTTTAAATCTGTTTTCCATTCATTTTCTTTGCATTTTTTTACCAGCGGTTTTAAATCTGCCTCCCATCCATTCTTTCTTTTCATTTTTTTAACACTGGTTTTAAATCTGTCTTCCATTAATTCTTTCTTTTCAGTTTTTTTTTTTTTTTTTTTTTTTTTTGCCAGCGGTTTTAAATCTCTACCATTCATTTTTTTTTTTCATGTTTTTACGAGCCGTTTTAAATCCGCCTCTCATCCATTCTTTCTTTTCATTTTTATAACACTGGTTTTAAATCTGTCTTCCATTCATTTTTATTTTTATTTTTTTACCAGCGGTTTTAAATCTGCCTCCCATCCATCTATTTTTTTCATTTTTTTTACACAGGTTTTAAATGTCTTCCATTCATTCTTTCTTTTCAGTTTTTTTACCAGTGGTTTTAAATCTCTCTCCCATTCATTTTTCTTTTCATTTTTTTACCAGCGGTTTTAAATCTGCCTCCCATCCATCTATTCTTTCATTTTTTTAACACAGGTTTTAAATGTCTTCCATTCATTCTTTCTTTTCAGTTTTTTTACCAGTGGTTTTAAATCTCTCTCCCATTCATTTTTCTTTTCATTTTTTTACCTGCGGTTTTAAACTTGCCTCCCATCCATCTATTCTTTCATTTTTTTAACACAGGTTTTAAATCTGTCTTCCATTCATTCTTTCTTTTCAGTTTTTTTTACCAGTGGTATTAAATCTTTCTCCCATGCATTCTTTTTTTTTTAACTCTGGTTTTAGACCTGTCTTCCATTCAGACATTCTTTTCAGTTTTTTACCACTGATTACAAATCTGTCTTGCATTTTTCTTTTCAGTTTTTCTTCTTTTTTTTACCAGAGGAGTGGTCTAAA